GGATAAATATATATATATATATATATAAATGTTGTTATTCATGGAGAATTTTAAAATTCAAAAGAATCAAATTTAATAGGATAAAAAATATTATAATTTAACATCTTAGCCCCAACATCATCACTGATGTAGCATTTTATAATCAATCAAAATCAAACGTGAGGGTGAAAATTTACTTTTCTTAAGAAATCCGAAATCTTCTTTTCGATCCTCGTCCTCTCTCTCTTGCGTAAAAGGAAAAATCTTCTACCATTTTTCTCCCATAACAGGGGGGAACATAATTTTCTCTCTGTTTTAAAAAGTCCAACACTGTTACGACTGTTGGTATTGTGATTTTCAATAGTTGGGTTGGTGATGGGTTAGTCGTGGGGTCAAGTTGATGATGTACAGAGGAAAATTAATGGTTAAAGTTGTAGACTTTTAGTTTTCGATAGCTCAAGGGAAGCAGACGAGTGTTGCTTTCAGTCGTAGAACATCACCGGTGGATGATCACAATCGGCGGTCAACCACGACTTTGGTACCCAAAATAGAGTCCACGTCCGGAAAATATAACTTGTTGAATATGTTAGCAAATATTCAGCTTTTTGAAAAAATCTTTTAGCTTTTTTACAAATAAAAAATAAAATGGCATGGGTAATTGGATTGTTAAATCAAGGCAAAAAAATTTAAAATGTTTGTGAATTAATTTGATCACTAAATTTAAAATGTTTTAATTTTTACACTAAAATTTCAGCATTGTTTTTTTTTTATGTTATTAGATTGTTAAATCATTAATGGTGTGATGGTGTGGTCGTTTTGTTTGTTTGTTTGTTTTTTTTTTTTGCTCTACAGAAACTCGTCAACTCTCTCAATCGTCGTAACTAATCAAACGGCACTCATCATCGATCACATTTTTTATACAATAGTCCAAAACGACAACGTTACGGTTACCATCTCAAAAACTCTATCCCTAATTTATCTTCCTGGAGCAGACTCCTTATTTCCTCCGGAGGATTTACGAGCAAATGACGACCTTCCTCTTTTGTAAAAGCAAGGTTAGCTAATCGATCGACACATCAGTTTCCTTCCCTACATGTGTGTCTTATTTTGATAATTCATCTCTCTCTTTTTAGTTCTTCGCAGTCTCCAAAATTTGTCTTTTTTTTTTAATGTCATCCAATATTTCTTTGTTTTAGGGTTTATGCTAATCATTTAACGTCTGTTTCGACCACGAGACTTTTGCTCTCATATCCTTAGCCATCAACAATCCTTTTCTAAGGCCCCGGACTTCTGCTAAGGTACTCGTTGTTTTCCCGATGTTAACCATATTCCTTGAATCCAATTTCTTCATCTCTGATAAGATCGTCACCGTCGCGTAACCGACTGCTAACCAAATGACACCCATCATCAATCACATTTATGAGTATAAAAAATTCATATTTCACTCTCGTTTCTTCTTTTCCAATTGCTTTTTCAGAAAACTCACTCAAAATTCATAAAAATTCACTTAAAGATGCAGCGTTTTAAAGTTTTGATGATCGCCCGATGTAATTAGTTTGAAGATATATTATTCGTCCTCACAAAAGAATATTTTTTCATGTTTAAATTTTTTTAATAAATAACTTAAAGCAAAGAAAGTCCTCACTAAAACACGATCTAACTAGAGTGATTGCGAACACCTATTAATATGAAAACTAATATGATGATTCAAATTAAGAATGAATCAACGAGGTAACGAAATATCAACATGAATGTTAAATTTAATCTTGAAATGAGAAAAACATGTACTACCCAAATAAATCCATCATTTTGATAAACAAAGAGAGAAACCTAAAAAAATAGAATTTAAAAATACATTATATCATAATCAATTCAAATAATTACTTATTATTAACTATTAAAATAAATCATAAAAAATATCATTTTAATGTTCCAAAAGTAAAATGACATATTAATATCGAAAATATAATAATGACTTTATCATAGTCTCGAAAGTACAATGGAAAAAGATCTATTAAACTATAGTTATAAATTCCAATGTTCACACAAATTTACCTTCTAAATATATTCTTTTTCAAAATAAGGAGATAAAAGAATTCAAATATAAATTTTATTTTCAAATTTCTTGTTATAGGTGGGGGATTCTCCTACATGGCACCACATGGTTGTATAAAGGAAGGAGCAATAGGGGTTTGACATGTGAGCAAAAATTATGAAGAGATTCACAGCATCACCAATCGTCAACAGTTTTAACGACGAGAGCAAATAGTTTTCAAATATAATTAAGGGTGTTTTGGTATTTTACCACTAAAATCGTGATTCAATTTTCTACCGCTTCTACCCTACAATTTTGAACTTCATTGCACCAAGCATATTCTAAAATTTAATTTATTAATCAGTCAGATAATTAAATGTTAAATTAATTAATATTTAAGAAAAATTAAAAATTAAAATCATTTAATTTATTTTAAAATTGATTAATTAATTGAAAATAAATATTTTACATACATTATACATATACTTTAAGCACAAACCTCATAAGAATTAAAATCTCTATATTTTTTAATAATTGGACTCATCAAACTTTCAACACACAGTCAAATTTTAACATATAAAATTTTTTAAATTAAAAACATATCAATCTAATTGAAAAATTATAATAAAATTCGGTCAATTCAAAAACTATTTGAAGCAATTGAACTTTATTCAATTGATAATTAAAAAATAATAATTAATTTGATTTTAATTAGTTTAATTCGACCATTTATTAGATTAAGCGATTGAATACCTGTACCGGTCATATTTTTGTTCTCTTTGCTCGTTCTTCCAATTTTATTAAGGGTAAACTATTCGGTTGATCACTTAACTATTTAACCCTTTTTATTTTTGTCATCGATCTTTCAATTTTGTCAATCACATCAATTAACTATTTAATTTGTTCAATCAAAACCACTAATCGTTAATATTTGACGAAAATACTGACATGACAGTTAAAAGAATTGTTATATTTTTATATTTAATAATTAATATTTATATATTCTCAATTTGATTAAATATTAAATTTAATTTAATAAATTAATCATTTAATCAGGATATGCGTGTCATGACATGTGTTAATTCATGTCACCTCTTGATTGGATAAAAAATAATGTGAATGAAATTGCACGTAGACTCAAACCAGCATCCTAAAGCGTGAAAGATGGCCGCCCTAACCACTGCACCAAAGGTCCCAATTGTTTATATCTTACAACAAATATTACTTAACCTTTAAAAGCTTGTTATTGGTAAAAGTAGAAGTAAAAAAGATATTTTATATTTTCAAACAAAAGTTAATATTTTACTTTTGTATTATCGCCTAAATGGAATTAAAATATAAAAAAATTAAATTTAATAACATTAAAAATATCATAAATTATTTCATTTTTAAAATATAAAAAAATGAAATTATCAATAAATAAATTTTAAGATATAAAAATATTATTAAATTTAAAATATTAATTTTTATATTTTAAAATATAAGTAAATAAATTTTAAAATATAAAAATATTATTAAATTTAACAATCTTGAAGATTTTTTTATATTTTAAAATATAAAAAATTAAATTTAATAATATTTTTATATTTTAAAACTTATTTATTTATAATTTCGTTTTTATATTTTAAAATTAAATATTTGTATAATACTTTCAATTTTATTAAATTTAAGATTTTTATATTTTAATTCCAATTAGGCGATAATACAAAAGTAAATAGTAACTTTTGTTTTAAAATATAAAAATTCTTTTTACTTCTACTTTTACCAATAACAAGCTTTTAAAGGTTAAGTAGGATTTGTTGTAAGATATAAACAATTGGGACCATTGGTGCAGTGGTTAGGGCCGCCATCTTTCACGCTTTAGGATGATGGTTTGAGTCTACCAAAGAGCAATTTCATTCCCCATAATTTTCTATCCAATCATCGCCAGCATATTTGGAGGACTGGAACTCTACAGAAGTGTCCCTCCTGGCCGACGGGGAATCTAAATTCAGAGTTAACTTCGATTAAAAACCTGGAGCTGTTCTCTGATTAAAAGCAATCATCATAGTGAATTCTACCTCAAAAGCATCACTCTCGAACATGTTCCAGGCCATGGACGGATTCACTTTGTCTGCAATTCTTGGGTTTATATCGACAAGAGATATGAAAAACATAGAATTGTCTTGTTAACAAGATAACTTCTTCGATACTCGAAGGTTGTAATTTCAGTGTGTTTCTTTCTAGTGCCGAAGTGCAATTTCATTCCCATAATTTTCTATCCAATCGGGTGGTGTCAATCATTATTGTATAAAAAATTATTTAATAAAAAAATTAAAATTAATAAAAAAAATATCCTTCAATCTATATTGACGCGTAACAACATGTGTCATGCTCCTGTGCTGACACATGTTAGATTCTGATTGAATGATTAATTTATTAAATTTAATTTATGATCAAATTGAGAGAATATATAAATATTAAAGACTAAATGTGAAAATATACTAATTCTTTTAACTCTCACGTCAGCATTTCCGTCAAGTATTAACGATTAGTAGTCTTATTGAAATAAATTAAATAGTTAAGTGGTGTGATTGATAAAATCGAAATATCAATAGAAAAAGTAAAAACTCTAAATAATTAAGTGGTCAATTGAGTAGTTTACCCTTTTATCAATATTCAACTTCAACAATTCAGAAACAAGTGGTCCTTCAAAGATCGTTCAAACCCTGCAATGGCGAACTTTCCAGATATTACGAATGTAATAAGAAAAACAAGGGTTGAACTAAAAAGAAAATCTTTAGCATGGCGTACTCTTCCAGAAATCATACATGTACGTAGAAAAGAACAAAACATATTTGTTAGCAATGGCAAACTTTTTCTGAACAAACGATATTTTTTCGCACGGAGTGGGCATGAAAGCTAACTTTGTCAAATTTGTAAGGCTTCAAGGCTTGTTTATAAAAGGGGGTGGGGGTGTAAGCCTTGGATGGATATAGTGATAAAAATGGGAGGATCTTATAAGGTAGCGGTCATCGGAGCTGGAACTGCAGGTCTAGTAACGGCCAGGGAGCTTCAAAGAGAAGGTCATCGTATAACTGTTTTCGAGAAGGCCGATGAAGTTGGTGGTACTTGGCTCTATAATCCACGGGTGGAGACCGACCGGTTGGGTCTTGATCCTAATCGTGAAATAGTTCATAGCAGCCTCTACAAATCCACTCGAGTCAACATTCCTAGGCAGACAATGAGCTTCTTGGACTATCCATTTGTGAAGAAAGAAGGTGGGGATCCGAGGACGTTTCCGGGTCACGCAGAGGTGCTCAGGTTTCTCCAGGATTTTGCCAGGGATTTCGGGTTGATGGAGCTGATTCGATTTGGACATGAAGTGGTTCGGGTGGAGCTATTTAATGAAGCGACTCACGAGTGGGTTGTACAGACTAGAACTCGAGAGCGGGACTCAACTTGGGAATCAAAAGAACAGGTTTTTGAAGCTGTGGTCATTTGCAATGGTAATTTCACGGAGCCAATTGTTGCAGAATTTCCAGGTAGTCCATGGATGCCATTTGGAGCTTGCATTACATCAATTGTCTTCAGTTCTAACAACTGCAATTCATATATTTTAGGAAGGGATATTTGGCCGGGATTGCAGATGCATTGTCACAATTACCGTACCCCTGAACAGTTCAAAAACAATGTACTAAAACTAGTTGTAATCAGCCTTCAACATTCAGTACATACAATGATTTTGGCTTATGCTTAACAGAGAGTGGTGCTCATCGGGAACGGACCAAGTGCCGTCGACATTTTGAAAGAAATCTCCCCTCTTGCAAAACAAGTTCATCAAGCTGTCAGAACACCTAGCTTTCAATTGGTAAAGGGTGGCACTTATAATAACGCATGGCAACATTCAATGGTTTGTTATACATTTCATCAATTCATTAAACTTCAAGATCAGGGTTTTTTTCTAGATAGACTAACCTCTTTTTTTTCTTTCTTTCTTTTTTTGCAGATCGAATGCGCTCATAAGGATGGTAAGGTGGTATTCAAAGATGGAACGATTGTTGATGCAGATGTCATTATTCATTGCACTGGCTACAAATACCATTACCCATTTCTTAAATCAAACGGGGTCGTTACTGTGGACGACAACCGTGTTGGACCATTGTATAAGCATGTGTTTCCACCGAGCTTAGCCCCTTGGCTTTCATTCGTGGGACTGAATTACAGGGTAAACCTCTTTTGTGACACATTTGTTTATTGTCACTGGTTCAAAGACTGCATGCGTTTTCAAGTTTTGTCATGTTCACATGATCAGGTGGTGATCTTTAAAGTGATGGAGTTACAAGCAAAATGGGTGGCGAAAGTTTTGTCCGGCACGGTGGAGCTGCCGTCCCGAGAAGCGATGATGTCTTCCGTTGAAGAACTTTACAGTAAGATGGAGAAGACGGGGTTGCCCAAGCATCATACTCACAGCCTTCAGAACGACGAGGTTGAATACGTAAGTTGGCTTGCTGCTCAGTTGAACCTAAGGCTCCCCAAAATGTGGAAGGAAATAACATTATTCTCCACCATCTTGAAAGGGATATTTGAAAATGGTGATAATTATCGGGACAAGTGGGATGCTGACACTTGGATTCAAGAAATAGATTCTTCTGATTAATTTCCAACCCTAAACCCTAAACAAATCCCATAAATAATCAAACGTATATCCATATATATATGTGGATATGCAAAGTTCTGCATTGTATTCCTAAATTCACTCTATTTATCCTTTAAAAAGGAGACATTATTCATATACATCTATCCTACAAATAATAGTTGCATATCAAATGTATATCTATGCATATATGTATATGCAAAGTTCTGCATTGTTTTCATTTTTAAAGAAATATTAATAATAAAATTACTATTATGGTTTAACTTAAAAAGATCGAAGTCGAAGAATTATAAGTTAAATTTGTTATGGATATTTTTATGATGAAACAAATACTAGATTCGTTTTCAGAATGTCAAAAGGGAGTGAAATGTAGATTTTGGGTTCAAAAGGCAATGATAATGTCGATTGATGTCGATCGACGATGATTGGTGATGATAGTGATCAGTGGTGGTGGTCAAGGGAGACTTTGGTTAAATTGATATTTTATATGAAGTTTAGTGTTCAAAATGATATTTCATCTAAAGTTTAGGATCTAACTAATATTCTATTTAAGGTTAAGGGGAAAATTAAAAATTCTCTCATTTTAAGTAATGTGTCGCATTATCAAACTAACGGGAGTTAATAACTCAATAAATAAAATGTAACAATTGATTACATAAGGGACTAAAATTTAATAAATCGATAACATAAGTTAATAAAATTCTAATTTAGTGAGTAAAAATGTACAATTATGAAAGGAAAATGACCAAACCAATAGTTTACCCTGAAATTTGTTTAAGTCAATCTAGTATGTAAAGCTTGTGTATTTGTTCAATATTAATAAATAATTTATTAATTTCAAATGAGATAATTGCACCATATGTCTTCAAAGTATGACCATATTTTCAATTAGCCCCTAAAATTTTAAATGTTTCGATCTTATCTTTAAACCTTAATTATCATTCTAAATTAGTCCTCAAATTTTTGAACTTTTCAATTTCATCCTTAAAATGTGACATTCATTCTAAATTGGTCTCCAAACTTTTTTAACATTCCAATTTCATCCCAAAGTATTCATATAGACTAATTGCATCTCTAGTTAATAAAAATTGTTAGGACTAGTGATATTGTTATATGTTTGAAAAAAGAATTGGGTTAAATTATGTTTGAAGCTAATTACATTGGTGAAATTGGAATATTTAAAAGTTTAATGACTAATTTAGAAAGGGGTCGTAGTTTAGGGTTAAGATTAGAATATTCAAAAGTTTAATGATTAATTTAGAATGAGAGTCAAAGTTTGCAGATGTAATTGGAATATTTAAGAGTTTAAGGATCAATTTGAAATGAGGATTACAGTTTGTGTAACACCCTATACCAGTACGACACACTGTGGAGAGATAAGAGTGTCACACGGAACCACCGAAGTGGCTAACCAATTTTTTTTCTTTTAACATACTCGAATAAAAACATTTACTTATAAGCATTCACGATAAAATAAATAACATCATTTATACAAAACAACTTATATTCGAGAGCTCCCAGAAGTAATAGACAAAATATACATACCACATTTTAAAACAATTCATGACTCGAGCATACAAAATAGAAAATCTGAATATATATGCCCTCTAAAGCACTCGATACATACTCTGCTCTTGATCTGATTGGGATCTACTCTGCACAAAAGTTGGTTCAAGTGCTCCACCTAAAAATCTACGTAAGAAAACAATTTCTAAATACTGAGCTAACTAACTCAGTGTCACGCTAATAACTAAAATATACTAATATTGTTCATTTAATAACATGTTATATCAACTGATAAAATGTACAATGGTTCTATCCAAATGAGCCATTATTGAGTATCTTTGCGATACTCACTCTCTATGCTATGATAGACATCATAGTGTGATCGAAGGATTTCTGCATTTCGAAGTTCACACACACTTCTAATATACCGAGGATGTAACCCCAGAATTTCTGCATCGGAGGTCACACTCTCCACTAGCTCATCCCTTACAAATGTCGGACATTGCGCACTAGCGTCAGTTTTAAGGGACTTTTCCAGTGTGTGGGCGGCAAGACCCTACGGTTGTTGAATTGGGCTCCAAAATAACAATAAGTTAAGAAAGTGTGTATAAAACTAGAATGAATGAATGAATGAATGAATGAATAAATGAGTGCCTTTTCCAGACATTGGTCCAGATGACCTAAACACGGCAGCCGATGCCAATGCTCTGGACCCATTTCTAGGTTCCAATACACCAAATGACCAAAATCCATTCATCTCTCCATTATCCTCCCTGTCAGAGACATTGGACCATTGAATATTAAAACTAGGGTTAGAAATAACATGAGAGATCGTAAATTATTTAAATTCGATTCCGTTGGCTCATTTTAGTTCCATCGGTCTTGTTCGTTCTTTCGCCGGTCTAATGACGAAGCCTTGGTTGCTGGGTGAAGCGAATGTTGCGGGTGACTGCCTTGCCAAATTTCTAAAGTCTAGTGATGGCCCGATTCGTATCTTCTCGGACGCAACACAAAAAAATCGCCCATATTGCTCGGGATTTAAATGGTCCTGGTTTTATTCACTTTTAATCTCCTTTTGCAATGGCTGCTGGCCTCTCTTACATTAAAAAAAATTGTACTAGGATTCATATACCTCAGGTTAAAGGTTGAGTTCAACTTAGAGCTTGAATGGAACTCGAGTTCATGATTAAATCCAGAGTCGGTTTTAAAAAGGAGTGCCTTGAACAATTTGCTCAGGCCCTCGTTTTTTTAATTTTATAATTAAGGGTCCCTAAAACTTTTAATTTTATAAAATAACTTTTTCTTTCTAGTTTTATAATTGAGAAACCATAATTTAATGTTATTATGGTTTATTAATATAATATTTTCATTATATAGGGTCTATTTTTGAGTTTTTGCTCAAGATTTGTAATAGAAGTACCCATTTTTTTAGTTTTATAAAATAATCCCTACTTTCAACTTTTATAATTAAGGGTTCACAATTTAATATATTCCTATGGTTTATTATGTAATATTAAATTATTTTTTCAAAATATAAAATATAATTTTGTTTTATATGGTCTATTTTTGATCAAAATTTATAATTAAGGGTACCTAATTTTTTTTCTCAATTTTATAAAATATTACATATTTTTCTACCTTTATAACTGAGGGCTCATAATTTAATTATTTTTTATGATTCATTTATATAACATTAAATTAATTATTCAAAATAATAGAATATATGTTAGTTCTGCATAACCTATTTTTGTGTTTTCGCTCAGAGACCCAAAAATATTTGAGAAGAATTTGTTTAAACCTAGTTAAATCTAAAAATGTCTCGAGTTCAAATTTTTAAAACTCGAGTCAAAATTCATTTTTGATTTCGAGTTCAAGTAGAAATTAACAATCTTAAATTTGCGAGCTTTGGAGAGAGTAAAACTCTAATTTGAATTTTTCGTGTATGAGACGTGCTAAACAATACTCAACTATTTTCATTTACAGTCCCAATTACAACCCAGAAAAATAAAGCACATAAATTTTGCCGCAATGTGATCAGTTTCATGGCGATTAACTCTCCCCATTACTCGTCGCTGGTGCAGGCGATAGCTAGAGCAAAAGCATCGTGGACCCGTTGCTTGTATATTTGCAGTTATGGAAGAAGAAAGAAGAAGAAGCCAATATATTTATTGATACGTGGCAGAAACCCAGAGCCGGGAAGGATGAATAAATGCCAAAAACTTGTCCTTGTTGTTAATGTGACTCTGTCAAGAGAAATTTAAGAAATGTACAAGCTAGGCTAACAGTGGTACTACAGGGACCTACTGTTGCAGTATAAAAGAAAAATTTTCTCGGAAAAATTATGAAGAGAAAATTATTAAATCGCCACAAGTTCCAACCAAAGATGGAAATGCGAAACATTTAGACTACTTTAGAGCCCATTGGGGAAAGGAAAACAGCTAATAATTTAATAGCATTGGCCTACTACCTGTCTTCCAATATTGTCTCCACTCTGTTCAGGGAACAAAAATCCAGATACATATGATTCCAAATACAAATCATCTTCCGAGTTTAACATTAATTATAATTAACGATGATATTGGAATTGGTTAAGATTCAATAAGAGCTGGGAAACACAAATCATATAACATAATTGAATTATGTAATAGCACAGCGGTTTCTGTCAGTATTACTCGCTATGAATATATATGGAAAAAGAAAAAAAATAACAATTTGCTATGTGAGGGGAGAGTTTAATACATAAACAAAATTGGAGGGATTGAGTCTGGAAATTGTCCAAAATACCAATAATGTCCTAATCCCCCGCCCCTTCTTAGCTCTCCTCCCTATATTTCCCCGCACGAATAACATCTTTCAATACAGTGGAGCTCGTTGTGGTGTTTTCTTTCTCCGGTTCATCAGGCACTCCGAAACTTCTAATACCGGCGGACATGTCGGACGACACGCCGTTAAGCTGGTCCTTTTCTTCCTAACGATCTCCGACGTCATAGCGGTGGAAGCAAGCGCTGGACACCACACTTCATCGTACCCGCCAGACCCAGACGACGTTTTGGTCGAACAAGACGGCTCAAGGACCGAGTCCGGGGTAACCAAACGATCATCCAAACCAGAGTCGGATAAAGGCAAATAATTGCACTCGAACAGGAACTCGGACAGCCCATCTTCTGTTCTCAACAAATAATTTACCTGCAAAAGGAGAGAAATAGAGGGTGAGTCGCCGAGTCGAACGATTTTAAAAATGAAAAAGAAGGGAAAGTGGAACCTTGCAGGAGAGAGAACAAAAGAGATAAGGGTCTTGCAGGCTTCTGTCGCAGATGGTGCAGAAATTGCCTGAGCCTCGGAACTGCCTCGTCTGTGGCCTTTGGTTTATAAAGATCACCTTTGAACTATTTGTAATATATGACTAATGGAAATCAAACAAAACAAAACAAAGAGAAAATGGAAACAATTAAAAAAAAGAGTTGACTACAAAGCTCAACAAGGATTAACAATGGCGACTTACTTGAACCAAGGAACAGTCCATTAATTTCGTTGCATCATCCAACCTTATAACATCATGGTACACATATCGTCTTATCTGCAAACATGAGAAAAGAGTTGAACAAAATTGAAAGCAAAGCGATCATTTCTGATATTTTTGTGGTGAATTTCAAAAAGAAAACCTGTAAGAGCCTGTGTGAGCTGTGGGGGTCGAAGCAGTGAGGGCATAAACTGATACAACAATCCAAGCAGAAGATGTTCTTCTCGTTTTTCTTGGCTTCTTCGTGCATTATACAGGCGTTGAAGAATTTCTCAGTAAGAAGAACTTGAAGCCACCGAGGTACTTGCGAAGAAAACAACTATAAACAAAAAAAACATACACACAATTCAATTATCTCTTTCACAAAGCAAAGATTAAAAAAAGGGAAAGAAAAAAATGAGCACTTACCATGGTAATTAATTTCCCAGATTGAACTTAGAAGAAAATCCTTGTTTAAAAGCTTATGAACATCATTGTAAAAGAGAGAGAGAAGGTGAGAGCTCAAGAAAAGAGAAACGGCGCCTAGCAAACTGCTGCTTCCTGTCTTGCAGTTACCAATGAACTAACGAGGGAAAGAGAGTGGGGATGGGGATTATTTAAAGAGCTGCTGTATCTTTTCTTTTGCATTTGAATGTCATTGTAGTCTAGTCGTGTAAAACAAAGATTATATATATATATAAATACTTAAAACGAGGGCCTTGACTGAAAGGAAAAAAAGGTAGCCATGTCCCCAGGAACCCTTAGAAACCCTAACGAGTTGGTTGGCTCTCGCTTCAAAATGACAAGGCAAGGAACAGTGACTTCTCAGTTCTCGGTGGAAACGGTAAAAGAAAAGGGCCAAGTGGGCTCCGTGATTCAAAAAGTGGCCCATTTTTAATGGGATTTTATACATTAAAACCTAATTTTTCAGGGCTAATGTCCCAAAAAACAAACTCTGCTGCTTTCAGGCTCAGCTTTAATACATGTGGAAGAAGACGACAAGCAGTCTTCGGGTAAATCCGTGGCATCTTTATACGTCACTAGATTGCTCAATTATTGATGGATGCCTTCACAGTTAACAATGTTTTTTTAGTAAATAACAATGGGCGTTTTTACCGAAATATCATTATTAGAACTAATAATTACCTCTCAGGTACTTTCTCCTCCAATATTACCGATCTAGCACTCTTTCTGATACAGTGATAATAAAGTACAGATCGTCAGTCTTGTATTCACGAGATTCTGTCCGAACTGGAGCCACGTAAGGAATGGCGCAGATGGCCATCCGCGCATTCGTTGAACGTCTGATATATACGGAAGGCGTTGATCTTCCTTTAATTCAGTCGAACCGTCCATCTCTCACATTGATTAACATCTGTCCCCTTCCCCTCTCCCTATAAATATCACACTCAACACAACCCTCATAACACACTCAAATATCATATTCTCATTCTTCCTATTATCAATCTTTCTATTAAAAATGTAAAATATTTTTTTATATTAATTACTAATTTATTATTTTATTAAATTTTATTGTACTAATTTTTTATTATTTTTTGTGGTTATAAAATGAAAGGTGGGTTGTTACGTTTAGATGAGAATCATATATCGAGATATTTTGTTGATACGGAAACAATTATAAATTGTGTTATTTTAATTATTGTGAATGTTTTATTTATTTATTTTTTTAGTATTAGTTTATTTTTTAATTTGTATACTATTTATTAAAATAGAAGAGAGATCGTATATTAGATCCATTAATTCGTAACGTTAAGTTAGAGATACCTACTCGTGTTTGGACATATTTAACAGAGGTTGAATTCGGTTACGTAGCGAAATATGAAGGGCACTATAACATTGAACCCAATCTTATTTCTGTACTGGTTGAAAGGTGGAGACCATAGACGCACACATTCCATCTTTTGTGTGAAAAGTGTACTATTACGCTAGAGGATGATTCCATACATTTTGGGCTTTCGGTATATGGGGATGTTATTTCTGGAGTGGCAGTGAGAATGACATCCCTTGTGTGAGGATTATCTTGGAGGTGTCGCCCCTAATTTCAACGGTGGTCAAATACCGTTAATTTGGTTGGATAAAACTTTTAAACATTTGAGTCGCAACGCCTCTGCTGAACAAATTAAAATGTATGCATGTGCTCGCATATTACAGCTCATATGAGAGATCTTGATGCCCAAAAAATTGTGCAACCAAGTTCATTGCATGTGGTTGCGTTACCTCGCAGATTTTCACGTTACCAGCGCACTCAGCTGGTGCTCCGCAATTTTGGTATTTCTGTATAGGGAAATATGTCGAGCAACTAATTATCGAAAAAAATGCTATCGACAGATGTCTCATTCTTTTCCAGTCTAGGTCGTGGTATCACGTGTCTTTTTTATGTCCGGTCATGAAAATCCATTGTTTTTTATTTCTATTGTTGAGGTAATTTCAATACTGAATTCGTATACAAATACTTTTGTTAAGTATATATTAAATATTTTTCATTGAATAGATGATTAAGTGCAAGAAAAGATTATCAGAATTTACCGGATGAATTGGAAGAAATTTAACTACTAATTGATAGGAAGACTGGTACAAAGGTATATATTTAAATTTTATTATTTACTTTTACTTATCGTTATAGAATTAGAATATTATTTTGATAAGAATTATATATATTTGTTTTAGCTTCAATATGCTCCTTATTATACTGAATCAATGAGGATTTGCATCCTACATCACTTGAGAGGCTCATTATATGTCTGGATGACGTTGGTCCCTCTGATATGTTTTGTTATTATCGAGTGACATCCCACTGATCGCGTGCTCTGTAAATTTGGTTTTGTACAATCTATTTCGGAAGCACCTAAGAATTTTGACGATATGCATATCATCGATAGGCGGGGCAAAGAAGAAGTCAACTGGCTGTTGAAGCACATCGAGTGGGTAATGATATGGGAGGATCAATGTGGATGCATTCCCCGTACAGAACCCATTTATGTGGATCATTATTCAGTTATGGATGATTACTATGAGTGCTTCAACAAGAAAGTGAAATCGTCCATACTTTTCGAGGAAGTACGAGATGGGAGCATTCATCTACCCCTACAAAGATATCCACCGTTACAACATCATCGTTCCCTGACTCATAGATGGAGAGCAGGTATTTTCGGCTCGTTTACAGCTACAGTACCATAACTATCACAGTAGTCACCGTTTAGATCGATATACATTCTACAGTCGTATTAGATGGCACTATAACCATTTCATATGCCACCGCAGTCAGGTTAAACGCCACTACTTACATATTAGATGTCAATACAGTCAGGTCAAATGCCATCGTAGCTGGTTTAGATGCCTTCGCCATAGGGTTTTATGACCCCTCCTGGCAGATATTATAGTTCCACACTTGTAGATCCAGCGTAGGGTTCATATATTGTTTATTTGGTGGGTGAAGATTCACCACATACACATACACATACACCTCCGACGTAGTTTTTTCACTTATCGATATCGGTGTTTTCGCAGTTTTCACAATTTTCTATGAGCGGTAGAATAGTCAGCCATACACCTCTAGGGTTCTTATTCAATGGAGGTGTTACATCGTCATCCGTCTATCATTAACAAAATGTAGTTTGTCCTGATGATGATGATAAGAGTGAGGAGGAAAAACTAGTTATACGAAGAAATCTTCATCGACACAGACAACCACCTCCATACAAAATACAATTAAGACGTAGACATCGATATAGTTGTTTAGTTTGTAATGTCTTTATTTAATTTTGTTTGTTTACCAGCAATTGTAAAGTTTTTATTTAATTATGAACTTTTTATTTATTTTGTTTGTTAATGTTTTTATTATTTAATTGTTTGAATTGTATCGCCTGCATTTAATGTTTCTATTTAGTTGTTTTAATTATTTGAATAGTATCGTTTTCTTGTATTCACTTTGTAATGCTTTTGTAACAACCCGATTTTCAAAATAATATTTAATTGAAATTGGAGGGTTTAATTGTGCAAATTGGCGAAAATTGGGACTAAATTGAAAGATTTTAAAACTGGGAGCTTGTTTTAGAGTTAAAAAAATTAGGGACCAAGCCCTGAATTTATCCTTGGAGTGTCAGCAGACATTAGTTATTTATGCGTGATTTCTGTTTTGAAAAATAGAAATCAATTTCACAAATTCTTCCTCAAGCACACAACTTCCAAACTCAATCCCGACGTCGTCCGAATTCCAATCGTTGTTTTGAAACCACCGTTGTGTTCATCATTGAGCGAGGAACAAACTCTTCAAATTAATTGAAGCGAAACGCGGCCAAACATCGGAAATTTACAGTCAAAGTAGCGACGTTTTTGTTAGCTCTATCGCCGAGAAAATCTTAAATTCACCGCTGATCGTTGCTCCGTTTACGACACCTCCCGCACCATCGTGTTCCTTGTGCCGTTCCGAGTCCACCAGTGTTCTCCTTTTTCTCCGGCGGCGGCGGCGCATGGGGAGGTGAACCGGTCAAACTTCCCGATTTGATGAATTCGAGCTCTCCTTTGTTCAAAAATTTGAACCGAGCTTTGTAAGTATCTCGAAAACGCTTAAAATAATTTTTAGAAATTTTTTCGTAATTTTTAGAGCCCCGGAGAACACCTCACGCGCCACACGCGCAGCCGTAGGGCGAGTGAGTGACCGATTCAACCGGTTTTCTTAAGGGTTTGATCGGTCACGACCCGACCCGTTGACCAGGCCCGACCCGTTGACCCGACCCGATCATTGACCGTTGACCACTGCTATTCTGGTAAATAATTCGGTTTTGGTGCTATTCTGGTAAATAATTTGGTTTTGGTGCTATTCTGGTAATTAATTCGAAATGGGTGCTATTTTGGTAATTATTTAAAAAAAATGGTGCTATAAGTGGTTGACTTTGACTTTGACCAAGAATTTAAATTTTCGGAAAGTCATACTTTATGTTTTTCGATGTCCTGATTCCGATTCCGCAATCCGTTTGGCCAAATTTAGACTCGAAATACCCCAAATTGATAGTCAAACCCGAAGAATGATTATATACTTAAGAAGTTTAACTTTGAACAATTAAATAGGATTTGGGACTGATAAATTATTATTGTTTGAAGGTACAAGAGACTCTCCGGATCGTTCGACAGCTCGACACAACTCTTCTAGATCAGTTAAACCACGTGTGTCAGTATTCACCCGTTCGAAAACTGTAGCAGAGCGTGGTGAAACCAGCAATCAGTAGATTTGCTATTTGAACCTATTGTCGAGGTGTGTTCCTTACTTATTACTGAATTGTTTTATTGGTTTTAATATGTGGTACACCGAATTCATTAGTTATTGTTTTATGGATGCACCAATTTAATGTGACAATTTATGGAATATGGCTGCAATCTATTTTTTGTTTTGAAATGGTATATGATTACCATGTTTTTGGATTTATGGAATTTATGTCACGGTGCAATTGAATTTTGGAATTTAATTACGATGGAATAGCTCTGATCAAGCTAAATGGGCCTAATGTGACTCTTGAGGGCCCCAAGATGTTTCATTAGGTCGACTTTCCTTTGCTGTGTGCTTAGGGTAAGCTATATGGACTTATTGACTTGGGCTTAAGGATACAAGCTTCATAGCCTATCC